AACTTACATTTGTGTAGCATATTATAGCTTATAAATAATTTGCTTTTATTTTATACAGTGCTTACTGAGAGATTAGGCTCTGATGTCAAAGCATATAAAAAGAACAGTTTGTTATTTTATTTGATTTTTATATTTGGCTAAAAAGGATTTCCAAATGAACACTTTGCTTCCAAAATTACCCTTGAAAGCTCTTTAAATGCACAAATATTAATTAAACAATTAGTCTGTATCAGGCACTGTTCTAGAGCTGGAATTCAGCAATCACCAGCAAAGTCAAAACCAAAATTACTGCATACAGATATATGTTCTTTCAAAAGTCAACACTATGAGATTTTCTTCGGAGTTGGAAGAGGTCTTTGTTCCTTCAGTTAAGCACCCAAAGAGACAATTGACTTGTGCTTGGGATGATGTGGTACACAAAGATACAGTTTTAAGTGCTAGTGGCAAGATGCTCATACTATGAGAAGCACATAGAAACTGAGAACAAGAGAGGGAACATCAGATGTATGTTTCCCAGCCCACACTGGCTTTGTAGCTAAAGCAGACACCCACTCGTTAAGTGGCAGTGTGGGTGGAATCACTCCTACTCTTTAAATTGCTATTTTTGTCCTTGTGTTTGCTGATTGTACACACACGAATTTAAGTAAGTTAAGCTTGTTCACTATGCAACCTGGCTATGTTACATTTTATCACATTCTTACAAAAATATATTATTATAATATATTTACACAGATAGGCGTATTATTAAACGCTAGTCAAGAGCTATACTTAATCACATACTCTCAGGTTGAAAATCTTTTAGAGCATTCTATGTGGATTTTTCATTGTATCTTTTATGCCGCTTTCCGTTGATTTTCACATTTCTTGTGTGAAACTGCAGGAACCGAACTATTTCCCTAACAGACAAAATTTATGACTCTACAAATACTAGTGATTTGTCTTATGGTAGAATTAGAGAAAACATTAATCAGTACACTTTGTATGTCATTTTCTAGTTAACTAAGCTGACTGTATCAATATGGCCCTTTGTTACAGGAACAATTCTGCAAAATAAAAGGCTATCTGGAGGAAGAGCTAGACTACAGAAAACAAGCTCTTGACCAAGCATATATGGTAGGTACAACAAGCAACAGAGACACCAGAGTATTTACAGTGATGTGCTGTGGCATAAAGTGTCCTATTTAATTTTTTATGCTATGTGCTTGAATAGATCACAACATGCAGTTCATTTATTTATGTTTTGAGTTCTAATTTTAGAACAAAGAAATTCCTAGCTCTTATGATGATATTCTTATACTATCTAATAAATATTTAATTATACTTCATTTTTTAACAATTAAGAGGCCAAGCATGGTGCCTAATGCCTGTAATCCCAGCATTTTTGGGAAGTTAAGGTGAGCAGATCCCTTGAACCCGGGAGTTCAAGACCAGCATGAGCAACATGGTGAAACACTGTATCTCCAAAAACAAACAAAAAATACAAAAATTAGCCAGGCATGGTGGAATGCACCTTGTAGCCGCAGCCACTCAGGAGGCTGAGGAAGGGGGATCCACTGAGCCTGGGAGATCAAGGTTGCAGTGAGCTGTGATGATGCCACTGTACTCCAGCCTGGGTAACAGAGCAAGATCTGGTCTCAAACAAAACAAATGAAAAACAATTAAATGTTGTTAGATAATATTTAGGGGAAGAACAGATGGGATGACAGTGTAAATTAAAGAGAAATTTTATTAAATAAAACACAATCATTTGGGAGTCTGATCTAGTGGTGGAATAAAAATGTATTTAATGTTTGTTATGTATATTGTTAATTCATTTATCTCTTACAACAACCCTGTGAGGTATAGGCAAGATGATTATCCATATCTGACAAATGAGGACAGTAAGATTTAGAGAATATAAGAACTTTGCCCAAGTTGATAAATGGGTAGCGTGTAGATCTGACTCCAGATCCTGTGGCCTTGACTACCATAATCCAGCCACAGCGACTGAGGCTTCCATGGCAAATAGGCTGTGCCTTTTTGTCTCCCACAGATTATGATGAGTAAGGAGCACATGTGATCCATTCCTCTCTACCAAATTCCTATTACACAATTCTTCGTACTGAACTACAACTCACATTTATTTTCTCCTTATGCTCCACCCTCCCTTAATTCATGGTTATGAATCAAAAGAAAAAGAGCAAACTAGAGGAATATTTCAAAGAATTCCTAGCAGAGGTTTTCATAATGCTTTCCTGGAAACAGCCTGAGTCACCTTTGGGGAAAGAGTGAAGCACTTAATCGCTGCTTGTAACAAAGATGAACTTGTCTTTGCATTCCAAAATGAATAAGAGATTCTGAGCATTGTTTGATGGGGAAAGAAGAGAATGAGCATTCATTGCTAACTAGAGACAGAAAAGAAAGTGATTTTTGCTTCACTTCTACCTTTCACCCTTGCCTCTTCTACCTGTATGAAATTAAGTTGTGTGTTTATGTGGCTCCCAAGACTATTTTGTACTCATTCAGAAAACCATATTTATCCTTAAAAAGATGAGAACTGCTTAGCCCAGGACAAGAGCTAGGAAAATATCTCTCACCAAAGCATGTCAGATTATAGCAACTGTTATCTAAAGCATATCAAAAAAGAAAGAAGAAAGAAACAGATATAAAAGGTAGTGGATTCTTCATCTACAAAAAAAAAAAAAAGAGAAATGTTATAATGAGAGCAGCCATAAATCTCAGAGAATTTAAAAACAGACCAATTTCAAAACTAGGTCATTTTTGGATTTTATTTCTCAATTTTATTTCAAGAAAAAATATGGAGACCATAAAGCCATCTTTAAGTACCAGACGTTTGTCATGTATTAATAGAACAGGAGCAGTATTTTGTGCATAAAATATATCTCCATTTAAGTATTTTGTCCTAACTTAGACTATTTCTAGAAGTATGGCCACGATGGTAGATATCTTTAAATATCTGAAGAGCTGTCTTTTTTTTTTTTTTTTTTTTTTGAGATTAAGTTTCACTCTTGTTGCCCAGTTCGGAGTGCAATGGTGCTCACTGCAACCTCCGCCTCCCGGGTTCAAGCAATTCTCCTGCCTCAGCCTCCTGAGTAGCTGGGATTACAGGCATGTGCCACCATGCCTGGCTACGTTTTTGTATTTTTAGTAGAAACGGGGTTTCACCATATTGGCCAGGCTGGTCTCAAACTCCTGACCTCAGATGATCTGCCCGCCTCAGCCTCCCAAAGCGCTGGGATTACAGGCGTGAGCTGCCGCGCTCAGCCAGAGCTGTCAAGTAGAAGTGAGAACACGCTTATTCTCAGCTACACTTTAGAATGTGAAGTACAGTTATTATAACAAAGTGAGGGTTTTCCGAAAAGGAAAAGTATATAAATTGGACAGGGTCCGAAGAAGGAACAAATGCTCCCTCACTAGAGAAGTTCATGGATTGGCTGGATGACCCTTAAGGAATCTCATAAAAGGGGATTTTCAGAAGCGTAATTAGGCTAGAGAAGCTTTGAAATTATTTTCTTGCTAAGATCCTATAAGACCAAAGTTGACAGCCATACACATATACATACATAGCGTACACTCCTACAACACATATAAATGCCAAGTTCCGAAGTTAGACTTTTCTAATTCTATTTGCCAGAGAATCCAGGAACTAGAAGCTACTTTGTACAATGCTCTGCAGCAAGAAACTGTTATCAAGTTTGGTGAATTATTAAGTGAAAAACAGCAAGAGGAGCTGAGGACGGCAGTAGAAAAGTTACGGCGGCAAATGCTGAGGAAGAGCAGAGAGTATGACTGTCAGATTCTTCAGGAAAGAATGGAGCTTTTACAGCAAGCCCATCAGGTGAGGACTGAGTCACTGTCTCTGTGTAGGGTTAGTACTAAGCAAATGAGACTTAGTACTAAGGACACTGTATTGAGTAAGGGTATGGAGAAGCCCAGGAGATACAAATTATTTTCAGAGTCTACAATAAATAACCATTGTTTGCCACCTTCATGCACACACAAAATGACAGTTTTGCAATAATTCATTCTTGAGAAAATTGGCCTTTCAGAAGGACTGCATACTGCTACTATTTTTAGAACTACATTGTCATGAAATGCCCTTTGAATGTCCTGATGTCTGATTATTTGACTTATGCAGGGAAGCAGAACACACCCCAGGACCAAAATAGTGCTTCCTATTTATTGCTCACTCCAGTTCACAGCCTAACCTGATGAAATAATGCGAATAGTGTAAAAGAGAACAAGGGCCATTCACATTACAAACCTCACCACCCACAAAGCCTGGCAGTTGCCATTTACTTACTGACATTTGCTGTGTGTCAGTAACTAAGGGTTCTACTTACATTATTTCATTTAATCTTCATAATAGCCCTATGAGGTAAGTATTTTTATTATCTCAATTTTGGAGATAACAATACTGAAGATAAGAATGCCTAAATGATTCGCCCAAGATGACGCAGATGGTAAGCAACAGTCAGGATGACAGCCTAGATCTGCTGGACTCCAAGGCCAGTATGTCTAACCACTGTACTGTACTGTCATCCATTACTTACATGATATATCTAGACCAGCGAGACTCAAAATAGGCACCCAATACTAATTTCCAGCTAAAATTTTTAATTGCAACTCTTTATTCATGCCATAGCTTGTCTGTTGAGGGCTGAGATAGATTCAGTAAGGATTCCAGAATTACAAGTGTCAGGTTACAGTATTCAATCCTCAGAAGCTATAAGAAGCAACTGGTACAAAATCCACATGGTATGCACAGGCGGTAAGAATCATGTGGTCATCAGTGATCAAGGTGAGTGGAAAAGAAGCAGGGGGTCTTCTATGATGCCAATAAAAACAATTCATGAGGGACATGACACTTAGCACACTTCAGATGCAGCCAGGAGCTTTGTGGATTTTATAGGCTAACAGATTACTCAAGTAGGCAGAGAATTCTGAAGCCATGTGTTCCAGAGATGATAAATACATACATGTTCCTATTAATGCTCCTTCAGATTCCATAACAAAGGTTTGTGTTTTGACTCTTGGAAAGACTTCTTACAGTCTTTAATAATAGACTCTATGGTATCATTGCATTATTTCATGCATTCTTTTCTTCTATCAGGGGACAAAAATGTCCTCTGTACACATTTCTTGTGCTGCAATAGCATGTAATTACTTTCAACAAATTGGGAGTTATGTCATGGAAACACAGAAGTGTCCTCTTTTAAGATGGACTAATGGTTATCTAAATTTAATTATGATGAAAACTTTATTCTATTTGAGTGTTTCTTTAACCATTTAGTTAAGATACTTCATTCCTGAACGAGTTGGTTTTAAGTTATCCAGTATTGCCAATAGTACACTATTTCTGAACCTCAGAGAGTTTCGTTGACATTTTTCATCCTTCCCCTAAACAAATGCTCATTAGCATACACCTTTCTAAGTTATTTCTTACTCTTCTTCCCTTTTAATCAATAGCTGAGTTTCATAGAATTATTCCAGAAGATATTGGTCAGAACCTTTCATATAGAACTATGTAATACATTCCTACTTCTAAAGTATATCACTAACCATTTATTAGACACTTCTGCTTGAATGTTTAAGAGTGAACTCATGCATTCTTATCTTTTCTTATGCATTCTTATCTTTTCTTATGCATTCTTATCTCATTCTTATCTTTTCTTATTTTATTCTTATCTCTCTCCCCATCTGCCTGTCTTAGTCAGTAGAATTACCATATCTCAAATCACCCCAGCTAGAAACATTGGAGTCTTCTCTGTTCTTTCCCTGTAAGCACTAATATAGCACCACATCCACCTGGAATTTCCCCTGAAATGTTTTTGATACTGGTCCATTTTGTTCATACTTGTCACCCCAGGCATGTGCAGGACTTTTCATTATTGCACCAGCTTCCAGGTACTGCCAAATGTTCTTATGTGAATTTCACTCCACCATCTATGCATTTATTCAGTCAAACCTTTAAATGTTTCCTTGGTGCTAGATACCAAGTTAGACATAGAGAATTCACGGTGGACCCTGCCTTCACAAAATGTAGGACTCATAAGTGGACATAAAAAAGATTGACACAAAGAAAAATAATTGATATATCATAATAAATGGCATTTTAAAAAGCAGATGCAGGTACCATGGGGACCTAGTTCTAGCTCTCCTCTTTTCAATCCACCACATTTTCTCACTACAGATCCTTCTCACTTTTCCTCGTGGTACATTCTTTCCCCAAAGCCTCCATGATCCCAATTTCCAGTTGAGTTGAGTCTTACGCAGGTCTCTTCAGGTCCTTCAGTAGCTGAGTACCCCACCCACGAAAACTAGATTTGACCCAACCCCAGAGCATACTTCCTTCTCCACTCATTAAAAATGTCCTGGTCCCACTTGTACTGTGATTTTCCACCTCCAACCCTTTGTTTGCATGATTGCTCGCCTTAAAGTATCCTTTAGTTTCCATTGCAATTGGTCCAAGTGTTCTCATTTCTCCAGTCCCAGTTTAAGATCTAACCCATTCATGATCTCCCTGGTGAAAAGTGAAAAAATGAACCACCTACTGCTCAGTAAATCTACCTTCTATATTTTGTTATGCACTCATTCACAACCATTTATTGAGGGCCTGCTCTGTACCAGGTGTTGGGAGTGTGATGGTAAGTAATGACATACAGATCACTACACTCTCTATCCCACAGAGGGACAGGGACAGAGCCACAGCACAAATGAACAATGACTGAGGCAATTTCTGAGAGGGTCAGTAAGTGCTATGCAGAAAAGTATACAATGTATGTGTGAGTTTTGGAGTAGGATTGGCCACTTTAGGCTGGCTGGTCAGAGAAGGCCTCTCTGAAGATACCTAATATCCAAGAAACGAGCCACGCAAAGATCTTGGCCAAGTGTCCCAGAAGACAGGGACAAGAAAGGCTAAGTTCCTATCATGGGAATAAGCTTGGAATAGTCAAGGAACAGAGCAAAGGCTAGAATGTCAGGAGCATACAGAGCCAGGGTGAGATTGATAGGAAGCGATGTTGAAGAGCTAATAAAGGGCCACATCACATGGGGCCTTGCAGGAGTTTGCACTGTATTATGAGTGCCACTCAGCTAACTCTTCCTTCTTTCCTTCCCACCTGCTTAAACTCAGGGGACCATGGAGATCATTTTTACATTCTGGGAGTTCACAATGCCTGCTATAGATGATGTAGGTTATCAAAGTAAGAGGCAGGAAGAGCAAGTAGAAGGTGCCACACCAGTCCTGATGAGGGAAGGCAATGACTTGGTGAACTTGGTAGCAGTAGAGATAAAAAGAAGTGATAGAAAAGGAATGTTTGGGTCCAACAAGCTTTCCTGTTGGATGGATGGCAAAGGGTTGGGAAGCAAAAGGAAATCAAGCATACATTATATGATGTAGCATAACACATTTACTTAACTAAAAAATATATATGGACAGCTTCTCCATGGTAAACAGTGCACTAGGAATTGGAGATGGGTGGTAAAGTTATTCAGCTTTTCCCATTGTTTTCCTTTACTGTTTAATTTTGTCATCCCATCTGGATCTGATGGTTCTTTCAAATCAGGACCTAATTGGTACCTTATCTGTATTGTACATTGCATTCAGCACAGTCATGAGCATGTAAGAAGGTGCCCAACAAGCATAGACGTAATGGAGGAATAGATTCTGCAGTAATTTTACATCTTCATGATTTTGTCCATATCGTACTTACCTCCACATCCAGTGGACATGCCAAGAAACTACTTGCACACTCAAGGTGGAAATATCTAGCAAATGTATTCTTTACTGTGTAGCTATGGAGCATTGACAGCACTGTGGAAATATACACTAGCACACACATCACACATGTATACACATACCATCAACATTCCAGTCCCATCCCTTTCTCCAGCATTCATTATGGCATAATTTCAAGGTTAACCTTTATGTTCTCACTCTGACCAAAACATACCATCCCTTGTTGCACAAACCTTAGCTCCCTTACTTTAAAGCAGAGTTTCTCAATCTCAGCACTACTGAAATTTTAAAGCAGATAATTATTTATTCTTTTTTAAGGGGAGGGGTGGCTGTTCTGTGCCTTATAGGGTGTTTAGTAGCATTCCTGGCTTCTACTCGGTAGATGCTAGATGCACACAATCCCAGTTGTGACAATGCAAAAATGTCAACATATTTAGATAGCGGTGATGGCTGCACAATTTTGGGACTATACTAAATTAGCCACTGAATTGCACAACTTAAAATAAATAAACACAGTAATTAACTTTAAAAAAAAAATCCAGAACTGCCAAATGTCCCTGGTGGGGGCAGGGAGACATAAATAGTTGAGATCCACTGTTGTAAAGAAAAGGAGATATGATTTCCAAGTTCAAGTACCCTTTGTTCTAGCTCCCTTTTTATTCTCCTACTATTGCATTATAAAAACCTCTCTTTCTATATTATCATCCCATTTGGCTTCTAGTGTTTTCTTTATGGACTCCATTTCTCTGTTTTCTAATTATTCCCAACAGAGGTATTAAATCAGAAGTCTGCATTGTATAACCATGTACATGAGCACTAAAAGCCTTTAGATTGCTGATATAAATGTGAAGACTTAATTTTACTTGTAAATAGTTGTTATGTAATGTTGATTTCAAGTCTTCAGTGTTTAAATTAGTGGAATTTTTTACATAATTGAGAGGTAAATTCAGGCAGTCTTTAGGATGGCTTGTGTTATGTTTGTATGTTCTTCTGTTTTTTTCCCTAATTTATCAGTTGTTTGTTTGTTGATGTGTAACCTCTACTTTGTTTTATGAGAATCGACCAATTCCGTTTTGTGAGAAAATTCTATCTTGAACCAGGGTTGAAATCGGGTTAGGAAAAAAGGTTAAGAACGAACTATGGGCTTGTTTACATCTATGTGATTCAGCCTCAGCTGTCTCTAATGTGGAAAGAAACAACCAAAATCCCAATCCAAATGGTTCCTAACAAAGCTTATTTCTTGCTCTCTAGTTCTGGGACATACTGCCCCCTCTACAAGAATTTGATATTCCCACATCTTATTCCAACTCACATTCCACTGGGCAAAACAAGTCTGTTTGCCAAACCCAATGCCAGTGGGGTGGGACCTATACCTCACTAGGAAGGGGTCTACAGGGGTAGGCCCAGTCGAAAGGGTGGAAAATACTTTTTGAAAAGATAATCAATGATAATGATTTTACCAGAAGCACAGATAATTTCTGAAACATACAACACATTTTTGGGTAGGGAAAAACTATACATGTGATATTTCCAGCTGCTCGTACAAATATTCATGTTTGTATAGGAAGTTTCGTGTTTTAGTTTGGTGAATGATTTTTTCACACAACTGAACACCCCACTGATGCTTTCTCTTTTTTCTTTCTTCAGAGAATCCGTGACTTAGAAGATAAAACAGACATCCAGAAAAGACAAATAAAGGACTTAGAAGAAAAGGTATCTGTCAAGTTCAATAACTATCTTATTCTTTGTTTAATCACAAAGTAATATTGATTTTGCTCACTGTATTTTCTTTCTGGCTTCTCAGTTATTGTGTGTCTTGCAGAGGTAGGTGTAGTTACAGGAAACCTAGCCCTCACCTTCAGTCAGACACCAGAATGCCAGCAAAGTCTCCCATCAGTAACTTGACCTTCAAATGTTTGTCTTTTGTGTTGCTTTCTTATTTTTTCCTGTGTTTTCTTTCCTTAGTTTCCCCTTCCTCATCTTCATTTCCTTTCCAAAAGTTTATTCAGTGTTTTATTACCCTACTTTGCTCTTTTTTAAAAAAAATCTTTTTGCACCTTTTTTAATCTTTCCCATTATCATTCATAAAAAGACCTTTCATCATTGTGCTGCAGTTTCACCTCACCAATAAGTTAGAAACTTGGATTGATATATGATAATTATGTTGTCCTGCCACTTCCCCAGTGAGCTGAAAGAGCGGCTGCTTCCTCCAAGTCAGCCAGTGTTTTTGAGTGATATAACACTGTGGCTGTTACAGAGGGCACTTGGAAATGTGTGTGGGGTAGGAGAAGGGACAGAGCTCAGGCTGGGATGTTGAACAAGCAGCAGTGAGCTACCCAGCCTTGCACAATAAAAAAAAAAAAGCCTGGAATTTTCAGGCAAGATGGCCAAATAGGAACAGCTCCTGCCTGCAGCTCCCAGGAAGACCAATGCTGAAGGTGGGTGATTTCTGCATTTCCAACTGAGGTACCCATTCATCTCAATGGGACTTCTTAGACAGTGGGTGCAGCCCATGGGGGATGAGTAGAAGCACAAGGGGTTGGGGAACTCCCTCCAGTAGCCAAGGGAAGCCATGAGGGATGGTGCACTCCAGCCCAGATACTACACTTTTCCCATGGTCTTCACAACCCACAGGCCAGGAGATTCCCTCTGATGCCTACACCAAAAGGGCCCTGGGTTTCAAGCACAAAAGTGAGCGGCCATTTGGGCAGACAACGAGCTAGCTGCAGGAGTTTTTTTCATACCTCAGTGGCGCCTGGAACACCAGCAAGACAGAACTATTCACTCCATTGGAAAGGGGGTTGAAGCCAGGGAGCCTAGTGGTCTTGTTCAGCAGATCCCACCCACACCAAATCCAGCAAGCTAAGATCCACTGGCTTGAAATCGTCGCTGCCAGTACAGCAGTCTGAACTCAATCTGAGACGGTAGAGCTTGATGGGGAGGGAAGCA